GTGCTGTGGGGCTTAACTTCAAGCGGCAATGTGAGAAGGGCCCGAATACTTTTGTCTTGGGGTAGGTGATTGTCAGTGGTGCCAGGGAAGCCTGACATCATGGTCTGAAAACTTATGGAATCGGCCCAGAGTGCCTCTAGGCTACGGAGGGGAAAGGGGAGCACAATAGCGTCAGGTTTTTTATTGAAGGTTCTTCGAGCTTGAGTGCACAGTTTGATGCCAAGTTAAAGGCCAGATCAAACTTGGAGGAAACCTGCTGGAGTTCCAAGTATGAGAGATGGACCCAGATAAGTGGCCCAGTCTGTCAAAGGGCACCAAGGAAGCCAGAAGAAGTCAATAGCACTAAAGCCTGTAGGTATTTTAAGGGCTCATACCTGTCGAGGGTTTTTGATGAGAGTAATTCAATGATCTTTTGCAATAAGGCAGTGACTGGGGGAGTTAATTTTTGCTGAAGAGCATGTGGGACCCTCCAAAAGACAAAACAGCACCCTCAGTTCCCCCGAGGGAATGGGCAAGAACGGTTTAAGCCAATTTATGGTGCCACAGAGTTGTTATATAGACCAGCTTTGAATTAAAGGCAGGGGCCATAGGGCATACACTGGCCTAAATTGTATGCCTCAAAAAAGGCATAAGGAGGCACCTCCTGTAGCTTATCTAAGGCGATAGACAAGCCAAGGGACAATAGGCAGGAGAGTACATCCTTGGTTACCTTGTGGAGAAATTGTGGGTTAGGGTGGGACAACAGAATGTCATCCATATAGTGAATAAATTGTACACTATGAGCGAGAGTTGAAGTGGCTCATGAGACAAATAGTAGGAGTGTTTTTCATTCCCTGGGGAAGGACTTTCCATTCCATGGGAAAGGACTTTCCATTGATATCTGAGGGCCGGCTTGTGGAAGTTCGGTTCCCAAACCACAAAGGCAAAGAGATCATGATCTTGGGGGGCCAGTGGGATTGAGAAGAAGCAATCTTTAATATCAAGTGTTATGGTATAATAAGAAGGAGGAATAGCACCAGGGTGGGGCAAGCTGGCCTGTGTCAAGCCCATTTTTTCCATTTGGTCATTAATGGTGCATAAGTCCTAAAGCAATCTAAAATGGCCATTTTTCTTTTTAATAATGAATATTGGGGTATTATATTTACTAATGGATGGTTTCAAATGTCCGAGGTCCAGCTGTTCCTGAACCAAATTTTTGAGGATAGATAACAGGTTCTATAATAGGCCACTGCTCTACCCAGATCACATCTGTTGAGAGCCAAGTAAGCGCAATTGGTGTGGGAGACTCCTTAGGGGATGTCCCAGGGAGGGCAGTGGCCTTTAGAATTGGAGGTGCTGGTCAGGGCACTGATTTCCCCCAGAGAGGCCAAGTTTATCATGGGCTATGACACCATCATAAAAGGCCTGATCATTGTGGTAAGAACCACACCCATGTCTTCCAGGACATCTCGACCCCACAAGTTGTGGGGGACGTCAGCCACTATGGGAGTGAATGTGCCCTTACTCCCATCTAAATCCTTCCAGTGTACTGGGCAGACGACCAGCTTTGTGTCCTGGCAGCCCCCCACTCCCTTAATGGGCGGGCCAGGCCAATATTTCCAATGGGGGAACTGAAGAAACTCACTCTCGGTGATGATGGTAATATCAGCTCCCATGTCCACTAGGCCCTTCACAGAGATCCCATCCAGGAATAGGTCATTGGGGGAGTGATTAAGAATTGGAAGTGTCCATAAAATCTGTCCTGTTTCCCCTCTTACTTGTGGGGCTGAGGGGCACCCCGGGTGGAGTTTAAAGGAGCCGAGTCTGATTGGGGCCGTGACTTACAATCTTTTGCCCAAAGAAATCCCTTTTTGCATTTGGGGCAGCGGGTCTTGGGACAAGCTCCATTGTTCGGGCAGTCCCTGCAGAGGTGTCCTGTCCTCCCACAGTTCCAGCAGCCATCTTTTGTATCGGAGGGTGTGGGCCTTCCTTGTAATAAGAGCACCCCTAAGGAGGTGGTCAGGGCCTCGATGGGCCCTGACCTGGGGTCTAGGTCCCTAGTGGCAAGTACCCATTTATGAATATCATCATTGTGGACAGGCGCGATAGCGTTGCAGGTAGGAGTTTTTAGGCCCTCCCATGCCAGTTGTTTGATAATGGGTCCAGACTCCACCCTCCATTCCACCGTCCTGGTTACACAGGTGAGGAAGTCCATGAAGGACTCCCCTGGCTGCTAAATCAAATTGTGGAAGAATGCCTGTGGGTCACCAGGGGAGCAACATTTAAGGGCCTTGAAGGCCAGGTCACTAACTTGTTGGTAGTAAGCATGAAGGCAAATAGTGGACTGGGAAATGGGGTCAATATATTGTCCACGTCCTGTGAGCATATCCAGAGTAATATTAAGGCCATATTGAAGGTTGAGATGTGCCTGATTTTCAGTGTGATAGTTGTAAGTCGAATGCCAGCTCAGGAAGACTGAGGGCTCCAAAACCGCCTTTAATAAGTTATACCAATCATAATGGGTCTGTAACTGCATGGCCCATTGGCAGAGGACTTGCTCAAAATATGGAGAGTTGGGGCCTGATTCATTGACGCTTTGCAGATGAGTGCAAGGTCCGTGAGAGGGGTGGGTACCCATGGCTGTTGCGCAGCATTTGGGCCGACATTAACTGGAAAGGTGGACAATGGCCAGCAAGGGGCAGCAAGGGGTGGATGGGTCGTGGGGGAGGTGCAATGAGCAGAGGTGAGTCGGAGCAGGTGAAATGTACTGGGGTGGTGGTGTCTCCGATTGTTGTGTCTTTGAAAGTGGGGTAGAGGTAAGGTAGAGGTGGGGGTAGAGGCAAAGGGACCCTTTCCTCATCTGTATCGACTTCAGGGCTGGTTCCCCATATCAACGTCGGCAGGGGTTGAAGTAACAGCAAGGTCTACACTGGCCTGATCCTGACAATGCTTATTGTGGGCTGAAATGACTTCTTCAGGGGAGGACGACTTAAGGTTGTCAATAATAGCTAAAAGGATCAGAACAAACAAGGCAGGGGGAACGACTCCCAATCCTACTTCCCTTTTTTGGGCCAAGAAAAGGACCCGCATCCAGAGGTCAGGATCCCACATATTCTCTGGAGATGCCCAAGGGGCCAAGTTAGTGGCTTCGTCCTAGAAATTTTCAATACCTTTGGGTTTAAGTTTCAGTCCCCAAGTTTTAAGGAGCGATTTGAGCGTTGCCATTTGTGGCTCTTTGCGCTATAGTAGTAAGTTGCCCATCCATCATGGGAAGGTCCTGTGAAGGGAAACTTGCCACAAAAGTAAAAGACAAGGGTGACTACCAAGAGGGCACAAATGAAGCAAACAAGGACCTTGAGCCACTCACACTAGGATGTAAACTGCTCCAACATGAAAAGGTGTATCAGATCCAAATGTCTTGTGCTTAGTGAGGGACTTCTGGAGGCCGTGACACCTCCAGCTGTATGCTCACATGGTGTCTCCAGGACAGGCAACAGGATGACCCGAAGGCTGGGCTCTGAGTTCGGGGTGGATCAGCCCTTATGTGAACTCACCGGGATGAGCCGAGAAGGGAAAGGTGCTGACGTGGGCTTTGGGACCACGCGACAGAGTGTGCCTTCCTGATTTAACAACAAATATGACAAAGAGGGTAGAGGAGACGGGGGGTGCACTTGCTCACCCTCAAGCAGCCGAACAGCCAGACAAAACCCAGGGCCTATTCACCGAACAAACCAAAGTTGGGGGCGTTGCCAATGCCGGGGGGGTACCAGGAACCTTGTTTGGGTGCCAGCTGTTGCAGGTTTCCTTGTGGGTCCAGCCCACAAGGGACTGCAGGGAACAAGGGTTCTGGCCGAGGTCGGGGTGAGTGACGTGGAATCAACACACAGACTCCGGGAGTCAGGTGAGAGCAGGTACTAGGCGGGGTGCTGCAGACTCGTTTATTGCTGGGAAGTGCAAGCCTTATATACCTCTCCTCCTGCCTACAGTGTCCCATAAGTTGGTGTGTCACTTCCTGATAGATCCCCTCATCGGGGCAGGTTGTAGGTTGGCTATTTTGCGGAAGTGCGGGCTGCACTCTCAAAGCGGAAGCTGTGCTCTCTAGTGCAGCCTGTGCTTAAGCCTGGCACTTCCCCTCCTACAGCTAAGTGAAAATTCTGTTACTAGGGAAGAAAGGAGAATCTGTGTCTGGGAAAACAAATGAACCATCACTGAATAGGAGCACCACTCATGGGGCTGGAAAGACTGCTCAGTGGTTAAGAGCTCTGGCTGCTCTTGCAGAGGACTTGGGTTCAGATCCCAGCATCCACACGGTTGCTAACAACAGTCTGCAATTCCAGCTCCAGGGGATCCAACACCATTTTCTGGCATCAGTGAGCATTGCACACACACAGTGCACTTACGTACATGCAGACAAAACACTCATACAAATAACAATTAATTAACTAATTAAAAGAACAACACTTAGCTTGCAGTGAGCAGAGCCACATGGTGATTAATTGCCATTTGTTTTGGGGTCAGAGACACTGATTTATCTCATGAAAATCATCTACCTATCAGCTGTACAAAGCATGGATTACTCTCTAAAAGTTCTTTGCTATGTATAACAAGGAAGAAATGTTTAAAACAAAACACCCCTGAGAGCCTACTGACTTCAAATTTCCTTTAGCCACATACTCCCTCCCTCCACCTTCTCCCCATGTAAGAATTATACAGTATTGAAAAAGGAACTCATGGGAGTTTTCAGACAACTGTCATACAGTCATAATGACAGAATGGGTTTGAAATATAGCAAGTTTATTTATCAGCAAGTTTCATTTAAAAAAAAAAAAAAAAGCTCTAAGAACTTTTCTAGACCACTGGCACCAGCATCTGAAAACGTTTAAAGAAAACCATCCAAAGAATTAGATAACACATTACAAAGAACACTGGTGTTATTTATCAGTTTTTAAAAACTATTTTCAACTGAAATCAAAGGCTTATATATATATGTATATATATGCCTTTATGTGTGTGTGTGTGTGTATATATATATATATACACATTATATTTGAATTATCTACAGTTCTTTAAAAAAGTATTAGGATCTCAATACTAAACTTTATTATAATTTAAGATCCCACAGGGCAAACTTGATAAGGCCTTATATGTAATTATTTGGCAATATAGTCTTAAGAAAAAAGATGCAGTCTCAAAAAGAGAGACATTCATGTTGGAACTGGAGGCAATGTTAATCATTTGGCTCAGCCATCTCACCATGACGAAGAATTATGTACCACTTTTGTTATTCACTTATTTATTTGTTTGCATATTCACTTATTTGTTTGCATATTTATTTTTATGGTGCTGGAAATGGAACAAGGAGCTTGCACATGGGAGGCAGTATTCTACTATGGAACTATAATCCCAGCCCTCTTTGTGCTTCTTATCTTAAGACAGGTTCTCACTGAGTTGTCCAGGCTGGCCCTGAGTTCACTCCGTAGCTCAGGAAGGCCTTCAACTTCCAATCTTCTTTCCTTAGCCTTCCAAGTAGTTGGAATTAGAGGCTTGTGTCACCAGGCTCAGCAATTTCCTCCTTTTAGATCATGTTGTTAAGATTGTTGATGTTAAATGACTGGGCCAAGGCCACACAGCACCAAGGTCTCCCCATCCCCAGCTTCTTTTCTGTAAAGAGACTTCAAAGCTGACTGACTTCACTTGTAAACAGAAGACATTCAAGTGTAAGATAATATACTATGAAATCTCATTCCAGTATCCATTGTGCTTACTAAGACAAATTAAATTTGTGTAATGAAAATACAGAGGAAATGTTGCATTTAGTTTCTTGGTTTTAGTTTTAATTAGTGACTCATAGCTCCTAGGCTGAGGAACGGCATGATGTAAACATCAACATAAATAAATTGGTGTGCTGGGTAAGTGAAACACATCCAGTTCAGTGCAAACTGCTCATTACATTCAGAACCAGATTTCAGAGGAAAGGGATGGAATACAAACAAGCAAAATCTAATGAGAGCAGGCTGGCATGTTTGCAGCTGATGGGGAAATAGCTTCATTCAACTCTGTGAAGCCGGGGTTGCAGAACTGCTCAACGTGCCTAGGAAACAAGATCCATGATTTCTTAGTAAATGTCCCCACTCACAAATGACTCTATGGGAACATCCTCAGGTAGCCAGGCTCTGTGATGATACTTGGCTATGGGATCTGAAGCTAAAAACGATGGAGTCAGTCCATCACAACTGAAGCCAACATGGGCCTCATCTGACACTCCTGGCTTGCAGGTATAGGAGGACAGGGAAGGCTGCAGCCACTGGCTGGGAAGTCTTTCTGGTTGCTGGTACAACTTATGCTTTCTGGCTAAGACAGACCTTAGAAAGGTGATGGTCATGGAGTTAAGTGTATATTCCAAGATGATACACACCCCCAGGCAGAGAAGACTCTCTAGTTGTTGGCTGGGTCTGTCGACCATGAGTCAAACCAAAATGCCCAGTCTCTAACATTTTTGCCTCAATGCTCCTGCACCATTGGAACCTGGAAGCTGTGTAATAAGTGCTGGGCTTGGGTGCATCATAGAACTTCCATTCTGGGCAGACAGAACCTGGCCAAAGGGAACTACAATCATTGACCAGCACTCTGGATCAGCTGTAAAACTGTCTCTAGGACCACCTCTTTGGAGGGGCTGGCATCAACCAGAAGGCAACTTGGGTTCTCCATACGCTGGTAGGTCATTTCCACCCTGGGGACAGACAGAAGGGAGAGTCAGCCTCCTTTTCCACACAGGTTTTTCTGCAAAAGCAATTTTCCCACCTTGACATTGCAGCTTGGGGCAAAGGCCCTCTCTTTCTCAGATCGATGTTCTCCTTGGTTGTTAGTGCTGCCTCAGAAGAGGTTTTGTGCAGTTTGTTTAACAAAGATTAATCAGTAATGATGTTTAATAACTGATGACCTATTATCTTCCCACCATTCATCCTGGCCTGTTCCTCTCAGTTTATGCTGTGTGATCTGAGAGGACCCACCTTATCCTCACCACAGTGTGCAGACAGAGCAGCTGCAGCTCAGTCTGTACCCAAAATGAGTCTTCAGAGATCTGTACACAGATGCTGCTTCTTCCTAAGACTCTTCTAACACTTCCCAAGAATTTGCATGTTCCTCTGCTGTGAGGATGCCACTGTCCCCATTTCCTGTCAGTTCTCCCTGACACATTCACACATGACCATTGCTGCTCAACACAGAAGCACTAGGGCAGGGTGCTTCGATGGAGGCTGGAGCCAGGCCACCTGCCTCACCACACTAAGGAAAACAAGCAATTTCCTTAACATGCTGTCTTTAAAAATCTTATTTGAGTGTATGTGTGGCATATACCTGTGCATACACATAAATGTGTGTGTGTGTGTGGAGACCTTGATTGCTCTTAACCTTATGTTTCTGTCACCGAACCTGTAGCTCGTAGATTGGCATTAGGCTGGCTGGCCCACATGCTCCCAGGGTCTGCTTGTCTCTGCCCCCACCCACAAGCACAGTGGTTATAGATGTACATCGTGGCACTTGGTTTACATGTGAATCCTGGGGATCTGAACTCAGGTTCCCATGGTTGCAAAGCAAGTGCAACTGAGCCAGTCACCCCAGCCAACATGGTATTTTTGATAAAGGGCAGTTGTTGTCTTCATTCCTTCTGTTAGGCATGCCTGTGTGTCAACAGCGCTGCTGAAGTTTATTTATATAAGTCACTGCAGCTTTAGCGCTTAGAACCACTGCTCTACAGTGAGTCACAGTCCGCCTGGAGGCAGTAAGACCGCCCAGGCTCAGAACTGCCCAATTAAAACAAACACTGCGTCAGGAAATCTTGGCTTTAATCCCAGTTTGACTGCTTAATAGCAATGGAAATTAGACAAAGCACTGACTCCTTTGAGCCTCTGTTCTGTAAACTGTTGAACTATGGGTAATGTTTCCCTTGCAAGGATCACATAGGCTTAGACAGCACGAAAACAAAAAAGCCTGACGCAAAGTGAATCACCTGTGCTGTTACACCTGGCCTGGGAAAACTGAGGCAGAGATACTCTGAGTCTCTATTTGTTCCTTGGTAGGTGTATGTGTGTATATGTATTCATGTGTATGAGTGTGTACGTGTGCATGTATGTGCCTCTGTGTGTGCTTGTGGAGGCCAGGGGTCAATGTCAGGTGTCTTCCTCAATTACTTTCGCTTTATTCTTTTTAATATTTTGGTTTATTTTTATTTTATGTCTATGAGTGTATTGCTTGCATTTATGTAAGTACACCCATGTCATGCAAAGTCTGCAGAGGCCAGAAGATGGTGTCAGATCCCCTGGAACTGGAGTTACAGACAGTTGTCAGCTGCTATCTGGGTGATGGGAATCAAACCCACGTCCTCGGGAAGAGCAGTCAGTGCTCTTAACTGCTGAGCCATCTCTCTATCCTCTCAACTTTATTTTTTGAGGGTCTCTCACTGAACCTGGAGTTCACCGATTCAGCTAGACTGGCCGGCTGCAGGAGCCCCAGAGATCCTCCTGTCTCTGCTCCCTGAGCTCTGAGATACACTGAGGTGATAAGGGTATGCTGCTGAATTCACACTTTTTTTTTTCTTGAACATGGATGCCAGGGATTGAACTCAGGTCCTCCTGCTTGTACAGCAAGCACCTTACCAACTTATCTTTCTAGTCCTGGCATTTTGGGTCTAATTCAAAGACCCACTGTTTCTGGCACAGCAAAGACTAGAAATCCTATTGTTCTTGAAAGACAATACTGAAGTCACATGGAAATAAACACATTGACAGGGGCTGAAGTGGTTGAGGGGACATTACCTCTTGCACTTGAAGTGTGGGGACTGTGTCCTTCCTTCCACATTCCTAAAGCTCAACCCTTGCAGGGATGCCCACAACTCACATCATTCCAGGGACACTTACTTCTGACGAAACACACTGTTAGCCTCAAGTTCAGTCTCTTCTTTGGTCTTCTCAAGGCCCCGACCCTGAAGCCTCTGCACTCTCTCCTCAGGACTCATGGTGAGCAACAGGACCAGGTCGGGTTTGAGCAGGTCTCCTGGCCACTGGTACACTGGGTGATGGGCAGGGGGCAGGTACTGCAGGCCCCCACTCACCTCGGTGGCTATGGCATAGGTAGCCGTGCTGTGCCAGTACCTAGGGAAAAAGGCAGCAGTGAGCTCTAGTGTTCAGAAGAAACCAAGCGTCCTAATCAGCTTTTGTGAACTTGACACAAACCAAGATGTATCTAGGAACAGGAAACCTCATTGAGGAATTTCCTCCATCAGACTGGCCTGTGGCCATGTCTGTGAGGCATTTTCTTGACTGATGTAGGAGGGCCCAGCCTATTGTGGGCAGCACCACCCCTGGGCAGGTGGGCCTGGGCTGTTTAAGAAAAGTAGCTGAGCAAATCTGAGGGCTCAAGCCAGTAACCAGCGTTCCTCCATGGTTTCTTCTTCAGTTCCCGCCTCCAGCTTCTTGCCTCAAGTTCCTGCCTTGGTTTCCCTAGATGGTGAACTGAGAGCCGTATGCCACATAAATGAATCCTTTCTTCCCCAAATTGCTTTTGATCATGGTGTTTATCACAGCAACAGCAAAGCTAACTAGGACATCAAAGCACCACCTTTGGACAAGTGGACTAAGCCAGCGCTGCTGAAGGCTTCCCAGCACCACACAAACACATTTGGATTATTTGTGATGTCTAAACATTTTTAAAAATCAGAGTCTACAACAGTAATACTAGGTGGGCTAGTCACAAAGCCGTATTTACTCAATTGATGCTACCATGTGCCATGTGAACAGATGCCAAACCTTTCTGGCCCTTAAGTACGCTTTCTTGTATGTGGGGCTGAGGTTAGGGTGACAGACCCGCTTGGTGGTGCCTTCGTATTTAACACTGTGTCCTGGACAAATGAAACTTGGCAGTTTCATGCCAGTTCTGACACTGTGCCAAACTGCAATTGCCCATGAAATCTATGTTCAGCAAACCAAGGCTAGACGGCCCCTCCTCTCTTCCCTGATTTCTGGCTGTCTGACTGTACACTGGTAATCAGGCAAGGGGGAGACCAACTTAGGCAGCTCTGGAAAAGAAAATCAGAGCCATAAACAAAAATCAACCAGGTCTACTGCTTCTAGAAGCCTGTTAGCTTTACACCGCCTACGGGAACGGGTTCTATCGCTTGTGAGCCATGGAATTTCCCCCTTGGACCAGGCGCTGTCCTTTGCATCTTGTTTTCTAGAAAAGGTGATATCCACAGTTCGCAAAGTTTTTCCTCTCTTCACAGTCTAGCTCCCAGGAAAAAAATCCATGCAGAATTCATGCTCCTCCTTGGCTCCAGTGCCCTGCCAAGTTTTATTTTTCCAGGACACAGTGTTAAATACAAAGGCACTTCCAAGCAGGTCTATTACCCTAACCTCAGCCCCACACAGAAGAAAGCATACTCTACCGAGGAACATCTCACTGGGACTACAGACAGTTGTCTGCAGACGTGAGATCTTCTGTTTCCTCCACAGACAACTCGTTCCTTGAGTGGTAAATACCTCTTAATCATCTCAATAATCTCAAACCTGAAAACTACATCTGGCACATAATAGGTATGCAACGCTTAAGAGTTCCTTACCTCTATCAATGAATACATGTATGAAAGAATAAATAACATTTAGTAGCAGGTACGTAACAAATATGTGATCCTTAAGTCTATCAATGAACGTATCGCTGCAATGAACAAATGACATTTCCTAACATAAATAAATGAGCTTATATTACTGGCATTCTAGGACAGAGGCTGTAATGGCTAATCTTTGTTGTCAGTTTGACATACTTGGGAAGAGGAAACGTCAACTGAGAAATTTCCTCCATCATTAGCAGCCTGTGGCCATGTCTGTTGGGTATTTCCGTGATTGCCAATTGATGTAGGAGAACCCAGCCTACCGTGGGATGTGCCATTCCTAGCTAAGCAAGCCAGAAAAAGCAAGCCAGTGAGCAGCATTCTTCCCTAGTCTCTGCTTCATTTCCTGCTTCCGGGTTCCTGCCTGAGCTCCTGCCTTGACTTCCCTTGATAGGCTGTAACCTGTAAGCCGCATAAATCCCTTCCTCTCCAAGTTGCTTTTAGTCATGGCATCTGTCACAGCAACAGAATGCAAACTGAGACAGAACCTCAACTCTGTAGGTCCCAACAAATCAAGTCCAGCCACTGTCACCAAAACCAACAGAATGCAAAGGAGAAAAGCAAGACACAAACTGTCATGAGCACAGTCACACCAGGAAGAAAAAGGGACTGGCATCCTTAGCCCTGTCCCTGAGGGCACTGACATGCACTCCAAGATTAAACAGTGCAAGAGTAAAAGTATTGGGATATAAGAAACACACATAGCAGTGAGTCAGTCCTGCTTTAAATGTGGCATTGGATGATCACGATCTCAGGATCGGCCAGGAGGGATCTGGTCTCCTTGAGAAAGTTGCTCTTGCCTAGTGGGTAGAGTCAATCCTTGTCAGATGTTTATCCATGAGATGTATTGTTCCTAGGATCAAAGGTGACCACAGGAGAGAATGGGGATTGAGGTACCAAGTATTATTCTTTAGTTACCCAGAGGGCATATGCAGGCATCTGTGGGTGTCTACACTAGGTGTTATTATTAAAACCAACCCCTAAACCCAAACACTAAGTCTTATTATTGAAAGCAACCTCTAGGTCCTTGTTGCAATTAGATTCTTGCCCCGTTCAGTAAATATAAAACTTTATTTCTGACATGAAAAGAGACTACAACAAATACTTATAATATAAACTGAAGTTTATATTATAGGGAAAAAATCCTTTGAGGTTAAACTGAAGTTTCTAAAAACAAAAGACATTCTTATCTTTGAAGATTCTCCATGGGTGACTGATTGGAATTCATGATTGTAAAGAGTTGGAATATTAGAAACCTGGAGTCTAAATATCTTGAGACCACATCTGTGTCTGACCTAACCTCCTTGTTAGGCAAAACCTTTGGAAAATATTTACTTAGCACATCATGGGTTTCCACACCCCCCACAGCTAAGAACATCACCTGACAGCATCTGAAACCTGCAACGCACATATCCCTGCTTTGCTGTAACTGTCCACCTCATGCCCCCACCAACAGATTTGGAATATGCCTCCATTGTTGACTTTCTTTTGTTCTGTGACTGTAAAAGTTCATGTGACTGCTTCCATGACAAAATACGTCATTCAAGGTGACCAGAACTTATGTTCCCTGGCCATAGTCACTCGTATTTTTCTCAGGATAAACTCTGTTATTCTATTTGGAATGAAAGCTTGATATAACACAAATGTCTGATATAGAGAGACTTTAGCTCTGAATTTCCAAGCTACCACTTTCAGTCCTTTAAAGAGTAAATTCCCAGTAGATTTGTAACAACTTCTCAGAGAAGAAAGGATAGACTGGTATCCACATGTCCTAGTTATTTTCTATTGATGTGATAAAACACTGACCAGAAGCAATTTGCAGGAGGAAAGGGTTTATTTCACCTTACAGTCTAAAGTCCACAATGGAGGGGAGCTGGGGCAGGAACTCAAGGCAGGAACCTGGAGGCAGGAACTGAAATACAGACCATGGAGAAATG